TAGTTTTTGAGTTAGTTCGCCAGAAGGTAGGTATATCCACTTTTGTGAGTCCTTCTCTGTCCTTACTGTTCTTTCGTATTCCCCGTTCTGCCATCGACTTTTCATGGCCCGTATGTTTATTTCTATTATTATCTTTTGTAGCCGTTGCCGAGGCATATTCGAGTCAATCTGTCAAATTATTCATCCTAGAATTCCACATTCTTTAAGCGTAAGCTTCGGATGATCACGCTCCTCATTATTCCTATCTCTTAGCCTGTAATTATGATGGGACTGGAAGTGGACTATTATCCAGGAACAATACTTTTTTTAGAACAATTTCTTCTTTATCATATTATTAGATAGAATCACTTTGAAATCCCGGAAAAGTATCCGCTCACCTTCCTCTACTTCTATCGTGAATTAGATTTTTTTATCAATCTGGTTTATAAAAGTGGATTGACTTCGTTGTCGTAACTTAGTTTTATTTTTATCTCCATCTCCTGTTTTGTATCCTCAGGGAATTTTTCAGAGATATTGATAACCTCCACTAGGATGTCTCATAGAAATTTTGTGTCATTTTGGAGAGATAAGTTGAGTCCTCTTTCCAGGTTCGTGGTGGTTTTGGGATCAAGAAGAAATGATGATAAATGCACTACTTTCTTCCGATCGTCGTGTTGTCACCTTGGAAGCCACTTCATCTGGGCGCACTGGCTTTAACTTAGGCTGTCTTATAATCCCAAAGTTACGAAATTATTCTCATGTCCTTTTGTTATAAAGTCAGAGATCTTACATGATTTCCTGTAAGTCATGCTCTGGAGTTTTTGAAAGTCTTCCGGAGTCAGGATCATGACCAGATCATGCCGATGCTTTGATTTAATATCTACAAACTTAAATAGCCTGTTCCTCTTCGTATCATAAGTTTTACTTAGATTCTGATAAGAGGCCTAGTGGAGAAAGACATGAACCTTATCCGAGTGGTAGGGTCTCTTAAGGTCACAGAAATCAGGAGTGATACCATAACGTTTACAGCAGTTTAAACGGTCAGATGGCAAGATTGACTTACAATTTTATTCTTAGTCTTCAATATTACTACCGTAGTTTAATCCAAAATATGAAAAAGAAGATGATGTTGCGCGCGACCATACCGATGGCCATACCATCTTGGTCTTCATAGCTTCAATTTCAGAAATTAAGTCTAGAATTAGGCAAGAGGGACGGAATGCTGATTCACTACCTCATCCCCATTCCTTGACTGGACTGTGAGATTCGTCATTCTCGAGTCATTTTCGTTTTTTCCAAGTGTTTGAACCTTAAATTACTTATGGATCGCATATTTATCCAGCTTCTTCTGGGGCTTTTTTCGACTGGGTCTGAGATTCTTTTCGAAATCTTGTCTCTATCTTCTATTTCAGAAAATCCTTCTGGGTAAGAATCTAACTAAAAACATTCTTGATTATGGACTTAATATCTAAGAATTAAATAATTTTGAACTCTCCCTATCATATATCTTTTAGCACTAGAGGCTAGGACTAAAAATAGAGGTGAGGAGTGACGCCACAACGGTTGAACATAAAATTATCAACGGTATTGCTTTCATTTGCCACATTGATAAGTTGTAACTCTGTGCTGACGATGGCATCTCTCGTTGACGATGCCGGCGAAATGTCTGAGAATAAGCTTAGCTAATGGTCTGATCGTGGAAATCACAAATGCTTTGGCAGAAGACATTAGACTTTCTACAAGGTATCTCTTTTGCTCTAAGCAATTTGCGAAACGAATTGAAATCAACACCATTGAGCTAAAGGAGACTGCGACCAAGCAGAAGGGTTTCACATCAACGAAAAAAGGGTTTAATCGAAAGTATGAAGAACAAAATGGTATAGCCTTTTGTGTGGTCACAGTCTGCTCCTCCTATCACACCTTCATTGTCACAATTTTTACCGTGCCTATTTTGATGTGTGGTGTGCTCCTTTGAGCGGCATTCATAAAAACCTTTTACACTCCACGCTGCCGTAATCCCCCCCTTCGCTCGTGTGCTGGGAATGTTGACCAGAGTCTACCATATTGTTACGTAGTCCTCCTTCCCTAGGTCCTATCAGAGTCTCCCTCTTGCCCCGTCTGCTATCTGTCTGGTACACGTATTACACTCAACCCCTGCCCCCCATCTGTGCTACTCGAGGTGTAATTCGTACATCCCCTGTACCTGGGGGATTGATTCGAGACTAAAGCCTCTGAGTAAGTCTCATGGTCACGCCTTTGATACATGGACCACGTTTTTGATAAAACTGTCAGCGAAATTGCTCTAGACTCCGCAGCGTCTATCTTGTTTCTATCTTTAATACCAATTCTATGACTTGCCATGCCCTAGTCTCTGTACACATTTTCCAAAAGAGGTGAGAATGGAGATTCCATCGGTAGTCCAAATATTTGCTCGTAGATACTGCCATTAAATGTAAAATATGTAGTCCTTACTGTCAGGTTGATCAGTCGTGTTGACGATGCTTTCCGTATCCGTTCTGCCTCCAGGATGTTCTCTTCTCTCTCCAATATCTTCATCTGAGATGTTTGTGTACATGGATTGTACATCGAAAATCACCAACAGTTCCGACCCCAATAACCCAATGTTCTGGATCCTTTGAGAAAATTAATATGAATTCTTCACGGTATTCGAGTGTCTATCATTTACTTTCCTGAGCTTCAGGCAAATGAATTCCGCTAGTTTGTGTATTGCTTCATACTTGTTGTTAACTATTAGTCTTAGCGGATTTCCTTCCTTGTGTTTCTTCGGTAGTCCGTAGGCTGTCGGTGGTCTTGCGTCATTTTTGATTAAGAATTTCATTATCCATCTGTCAATTTCCCCATTTGTATAAATTTCCTTGAGCATATTCTTCAGTTTCTCGTTGATCTTTGTGGCTGGATCCTTCCTTAGTATTTGATAAGTGTTCAGATCGGCGAAGATACTTTTCATTTCCTCCGTGTACTATTTCCTGTCCATTACAACCGTCGCTCCTCCCTTATCCGAGAAATAAACAGGATAGACACGGTGGAGACTGGAGCTAGTTGACTGACAGTTTTATCAGAGACGTGGTACATGTAGCAAAGACGTGACCATGACACTTATTTACGGGCTTTAGCCTCGAACCAATCACCCAGGTGCAGGGGATGTGCGAATTACGCCTCGAGTAGCATAGATGGGGTGAGCGCAGGGGTTGAGTTTAATACGTGTACCAGACAGATAGCAGACGGATTCTACGGGGCAAGGAGGAAACTCTGATAGGACTTAGGGAAGGAGGACGACGTAACAATATGGCAGACTCTGGTCAACATTCCCAGCACACGAGTGAAGGGGTGATTACGACAGCGTGGAGTGTGAAAGGTTTTCATTAATGCCGCTTAAAGGAACACACCACACTACATCAAAATAAGCACGGTAAAAATTGTGACAATGAAGGTGTGATAGGGGGATATAGGAAATGTGAATAGCCCAGGGAAGAAGGGGAGATACCACAACTATATAGCACACGTTTGGTCAAAGGATAGGCTTATTTGTCTTTTTGACGAGTTGTTGTACGGTGCTAAGAATGGCGAGACTCACTGATGATGCCAGCGAAACGTTTGGAAATGTACCGCGTCCAGAGTCTAACTTTGGAAAGTATTTTGCATAAAATGGACTCGGACTAGGTGCTTTCCTCAAAGTCTTCCTACCAATATGACCAAGTTACGAAAAGATGGTTAATTGAAGAGTTACTTGGAGAGTTGCCTACAGTAGTCATCTTTATTAACATTATTTTTTATTTGTAACTACCGTTAGATATTGTTATTCTCCTTTATTTTAGGATTGTACACATCATGCTACAGAAGCTCTTCAAGCATTCAAGCTCCACACCTACCCTTATCACTTCTCCGGCTACTTTCGAGACTCTCTGTCGTCTACTAGCTTATCGAGAGGTCGAAGCAAATGCAATCAACAAGATTTTGAGTAAGACGTTTTTCACTTTTTGGTCTACTATGGCTTCCTAGGTTACTATTTAGCTTTCCTATATATTTATCGTCTCCACCATACTCTTTTAGGTATAGTTAATCTAAATCAACTAAAACTATGCGTGTCTAGTCTTGCTGCTGGTCCAGTCGCAGGCAATCAAGCCTCTAGCTTGTCGACATCCGTTTGCACCGATGCCACAACCAGTTCCGCAGAAATCACTAGCGGCTACGTCAAAGCAGCAAACTCTGGAGAAGACCCGGTCTCTTCCAGTTCTGTGGGCAGTATCGTGAGAGCCTGGCCGGCTCAACTACCCAGTTTGGTGGAGGTAATCGGCCACCGACTAGCCGATTGCCTGATGCCCGAAGTTCGTTTGCACTGTTTAGTTGGCTTATCTCGTATATGGCGCCTTAGAGATCACTTGCAGTCGCACTCTGCGGGAGGTCAAACAACTTGGATGGGAAAGACTTCACTAACAGAAACCGACAGCAGCACAATGACGGCGGAAATTCCCCTTCAGCTGGTGTACTGGTGAGAGCTTTTATTCTTTTTTTAATATGAATTGGAGTCTGTTTCGTTTATGAAGTTAGGTAAAAAAAGATTCGTAAACTGGCACTAACGAAAGCCGAGCCAGGATTGCCTTGCAGTTGGGACTGTTTATTTGGACAAATGTGTCCTCGGCCTCAGACCATTTATCCTTGATGATCCTAGACTGAGAGGTTATGACAGGTGGTTTCGTAACCTGACTTGAAACTTGTAAGCTGACATCTCATTATCTCAATCAGATATGCTTACAGACTTACGCAGTTTGCGTCGTGGTTTCTCTTGGGTTATTATTCCTTGATAACCCTATCCTGACAGGGCTTTCTAAATAATTCTGACTTATTGCTTAAAGATATTGTTTTTCTTATATAAGAAGAGTTTTGAGACTACCAGTAAATCAGTTGTATGAAATATATTCACCCTTTTTCGTTTTAGGTAAAGACATCAATACAGACACACTGACGATCAGACATATTTAAGTAAAGTAGGATTACCAATATGACAGATAAATAGCCAAGT